CAATATAACATAGATCAGAAAATCATCGTAAAGAATCGTAACTCGATTACAACGCTAACTATATTCAGCCAAGTATAAATATTATTGTTCGAGGACTCGGACCGAGATCTCGGATTGAGTTCTAACATCGTGGACACAAGGCTTTACACCGTGGTGTAAACTAAGCCATAAAAGTTTTTATTTCTCACGTTTCTGCTCCTAGGGAAAAATTACACGATCGATGCCCAGCATTAAAAAAAAATACGTTCACGAATGGAGTGTCATCTCTCGGAACTGCGCTATCGCAGGATGCATTTCGGAACGGTAGTCACGCTTTGGGTCATATGACCGACGTTACGCGATGATTGATGTGTAGTCATAGGCGTTGACTTGACTTCTTGGTGGTGTATCTCGTGATCTCGAGTTCCTACGAGTCTTCAAGAATTACCTAACGAATTTCGTATATCTCTTCGAGGAAAAAATACAGAAGACATTATGGCTCTCAGCGACGCTGACGTACAGAAGCAGGTTAATAAAGAAAATCTTCGCTATTCTTTTAAGACTACTCTCCAATGTTGCTTATAGCAAATGTCGCGCGTATATACTCCCGCGCTATTAATATCTTTCAATTACTTATTTATAATGTCATGTTACTATTTTCCTTAAATATGCGTCTCGATACATCTTAAATGTTTTGTATTTTATAGGTATTAGATTACATTTTCATAACTTTCGAGATTATAACTTAAAACGGGAGCGAAAATGGAACAAGATTGCAACACATATAAGCACTAGATAAAATCAAATAAATAAATAATTATTTATAAAATTTCATCGTCAACTATATTTTATCTACAAATGTTTTCATATTTATCGGAATATTTTTAATATTGTCGAAATTTTTCATCTCTCTAAAGATTAAAAGATTGATGATTTTAGCTGACATAATTTGGAGAATGTGTAGTTTTATATATTTTATTACATGTTTTATGTGCATTATTTGAAAGATACGATATGGAGATATCATTTAAAAGCATTAAAATTTAAAAAAATCTATTATAAATGATTTATAAATAAAAAATGGTTTGTTACAGATCAAGCATATGATGGCCTTTATAGAACAAGAGGCCAATGAGAAAGCAGAAGAAATAGATGCTAAAGCAGAAGAAGAATTTAATATCGAGAAGGGACGTCTAGTGCAGCAACAGCGTCTTAAGATCATGGAATATTATGAGAAAAAGGAAAAGCAAGTTGAATTACAAAAGAAGATGTATGTATAGAAAACTAATATATTTTATTACATATAATAAATAATACTAAAATTTATTAAATTAATCTATATATAATTTTAAAAAATTTTCTAATTTTTATTTTCTTAGTCTTCTAAAAAATTAGCAGATTATAAAATGATTTGCAATATATATCTATATTTTTATTCTTACAGACAATCTTCAAATATGCTCAATCAAGCTCGATTGAAAGCTTTAAAAGTACGTGAAGATCATGTACGCAATGTACTTGAAGAAGCTAGGAAGAGATTAGGTGAAGTAACTCGTGATACAGGACGATATAGAGAAATTCTTCAACTGTTAATTATTCAGGGGCTTTATCAAGTAATATTTAATTTCAATGCCTATTATTATTGTTCTAATTTTTATATTAGTATTTTTTGTTGTAATAAAAAAAACTAAAAGAATGTTTAACATCTTGAACATTTTCTAAGACGTAATTTATTTTTACAGTTAACAGAGACAAACATTACTCTTCGTGTTCGTCAAATTGATATACCTATTGTAGAATCTCTTATTGACGTTGTTCAACAACAATATAAGCAGAAAACTAAAAAAGACGTTACCCTGAAAATCGATTCCGATAATTTCTTGCCTGGCGAAAGCTGCGGAGGCGTGGAATTATTAGCATCCAGAGGTAACTATCAAAAAATTAATTCTTATATCAATATTATATGTCAATTAAAAATAATTTTTAATTGTATTTTGCAGGACGTATAAAAATCAGTAATACTTTGGAGACTAGATTAGAGCTGATCGCGCAACAGTTGGTCCCCGAGATCCGTTCCGCTCTGTTCGGACGCAATCCAAACCGCAAATTTACCGATTAAGTTACCTTTCTTGACAGTTATTTGACTATCCAAAACATTCCCTCTTAATAGCAGATTATTATTGCATTATCATATATCGTGTAGAGTAAAATTAGTGTACTACAATTTGCTGGCCTTTGTCAAGATTCTCATCTTGAAAATTGTCTAATATTTTTAATGAAAGTATTCAATTGATTACCGTGCAATATTTATCGTTACAAGAGTTATGAACATAACTCTTCTATCATTTTATCTAATCTTTAGCTTAACAGGTAAAAGAAAATCATGAACATAAAAATGTATAGTTATCAAATATCTCACATCCATTTAACTAACTGTTAATATTCTTGTTAAAATCAGTGTTCATAAATAAAATAGTATTTCTTCAATTTTCTCAAAGGCAATTAGGAATGTTAATGCGGACAAAATGTATGTTAATAATAATAATTAATGTTACTTTGGCTGCTTATGTTAAAACGAATAGCAATCGCAAGAAGAATGTAGTATAGTCAATATATTGTGCAGTCGTACAAAAATATTAGCTGTGCTTTATATGTATATACGTATACGATACATATATTTATATACGTATAGAGCATATCAGTATGTTATGTACATTATGTATAAAATGTAATGATGTAACAGTATATAAATATATTATTCATTGTTGTTTTAAAAATACAAGAGTTTGATTTTACGAAAGTAACGCATGTTGTATTATTACTTAAAGTTTTTAACCATACAATGAACAATTTTGTGTGTGTGTGTGTGTGTGTACAGACTTTATATATAATTATCAAATATCCGTTTTTTTTCATTGGGTTGATATCTAGCATACATCATTTACTGCAAATGATATAATTTATTTATCTGTTAATTACATTTTTTTCATCATTTCACAATTGATAAGAGATAAATTTTAATATAAAAAAAACATACATATGTGTGTGCAGCAATAATAATAAATTGCAAAGTGATGATAACAATGATTCATTCAATTAATATAAAGTGAACACAAGATATAGGTTGCAAAAATGTTACAAAACAATGCAAATAACTTAGAAAACTTATTGCTATTTTTATTACATATGAAGATCGACGCATGCTTCTCCCTCGAGATCTAACGAATCCGGAGTATCGGTCGGACTGATCTGTTCTCCATCGAAATAAAGCTTCAGGCTGTTCTCCTTCACACCGAGTTGTTCAGCGCAATTAGCAAATAGTGCTTTAAACTGCTGATCCCTCCTAAGTATGATTATTAACGATTGCTTCTTATTCGCCGTTTGTACTTTAATGCTACATATATTTTCATTATCGCTGCTACCCTCGGATAATGTCTTCATACCCGGATTCACTATACCGCCATCTATAAATATAAAATAACACTGTTCTATCATTATTATCGCTATTGCTTCTACATGTGTTTTATTTATACAAACCAAGTATATCTATAACGGAAAGTTTGAGCAAAGCAGGAGTATCGCTGTACTTGACAATTTTATCCTTATTCATAATTAGAATTTCATCTATGGAAACATGTTCTAAATCAGCGTAATGCTGAAAAATCTTTTGAAAACAGTCATGCTATAATAAAAAAAAATTTAAAGTTATATTTATATGAATATATCTATTATTAAATATACGATAAGAATAAAGATAAAAGAATATTCTATTATCAGCTAATATAAGTGACATACATACTTTACGTATACTTAAACGATCCAGTCTACTCGATCTCCAAAGTATTTTTATATGCAACTCATAGTTGTCATCTTCACAAGCATCATCATCTGACAGTGTAATTATATCTTTTTTACATGATTCGGGAATTGATACAAAATTTTCTTCAATAGAAATTAACTCCACATCACATTGTAGATCATCGTTATATGGAAACTAAAACAGTAATATAACAACTCTATACGCCTTCTTGCATATATACATTCAAATGTATAATACATATACATATACAATATTTATTTTAAAAGTAGTATGAATAAAATATAAAAAATCTTATAAAGATAATTATTAAAAATTAATTTCTGATATTTACAATAGTACATATAAATACATATATAAAAAAAGGAAAAAATATTACCCTTTTTTTCTTTCGCCTAACAGTAGTATAATTAGTAATACCTCCACCTTTTTTTCTTCTTACCGTCTTACTTCTAGTTTGAATACCATCATCATTCAATTCATTATCATTCTTTTCATTACTATTTATTTCTAATAATATAGGAGAATTTGTTTCTATGCTATTTAGATTTTCATTTATTTCTTGCTTATCCCTAAAAAATAAAAAAATTATTATAAATATTTTTCATATACCTAAAATACACTGTAAAAAATTCAATAAAAAGCTATTTTTGACACTAAATCTATAAAAAATTTATATATGATATATATAATACATACTTTGTAGGAAATTTTTTGTTAGTAAATATCTCCTTTTCAAAACGTTGTCTCTTCAATGCTAAAATATGAAATGTCATATTTAAAAAATAGTCTATTCTGATATACATATTATTTTTTCTATATTTGTCTTTCAAATATATGTTAACACACAATTAAGTATATGTTAACACGTTTCCTGTCATGTAAAGTCATCAAAAATCGGTCTGACATAGAAGGAACATTGTGATAAATAAAAAGCATTACCTTTTAAGCGAGCAACAGAGTTTGTATATGGATCATCTTCATCCGAAGAACTATTTAGTACAAGATTATCCATTTTAAAGAGTTATAAATTTAACATAAAATCTCCTGAAATAAATAATACTCACCATAAATATAATTTGTACTATATAAAATAATGTTAAACTATGCATCAAATGTAATTTCTAAAGATTAAATTCTGTTAATATGATAGAAAAAGAAAGTCTCAAAAATTGAAAACAAAAAACAATATTATCGTTTTCCAAAACAATAATTTTAAAACAAATATTTCAATTTAATGTAATATCCTATTGTTATATGAAATTTTTACCGTGTCAATATAAAATTTATGTATGTAAAACGTACAAAATCTGATATAATATACTTAATTGCTAATTTTTCTTTGACACAGTTTTTATACTTATTGTTTACCTTCAATTAACTACGTATACCTCATTATATTAGAAAGACTAAAGATGGATTAAGAATATATTATTTATCTGTTTAATGCCCGATTGATAGCACTAAAGTTAAGCACAGTGTTTTTGACTGATGCAGGATTAAAAATATAGATTTCGAGAGGTTAAAAGTAATTAGAAATGTTTACTCCTTAAAGCCAAGATGGTTCAAAGCCATCTTGTCCATACCAGTCTACTCTAATCCACTCTTGCGGCATTTTGTTGTATCTTGTTATAAAATAGAGTATATAAAATAGACTTACAAATTAACTACTTCTCTCTGTCATTTTCATTTGTCAATATTCGACTTCACTTTTAAATGGATGTTTGGTTTATATGTTCATACCAATGGTCCGTGCTGTAGGAAGAAATGGCGGATTACAACGAAAAGTGTGAGGATTATTCGTTTGATTATGGCGAGGATAAACAAAAAGGTGTTTGCATGATAAAAAATGAGTACGTAAATATATTGCAAATATTCCATCAATCTTGGTGCAAGTGAATTTTATACAAATTGCGAATGTTTATTTTTGTGCTAACCTCCAAACGTTGTTCCAGTCACATGTTCCAGTCGCATTTCTGAACATGATTTAACAAATATAATGTTTTAATTCTTTAATTCACTGTTTAATCTCCTTTTTATTATTTAAATTTGCAAAAAATTAGATTTTAAAAATTAATTTTTTTTTTAAATTGTGTATTGAATAGTAACTTGTCTCAAATGATACATTTAATGAGAAATTCTGTTCAATATAAATTTGTATTCCTTTGAATTTTAAATATATAAAAGTTACCTGAAGATATTTTGAACATTACTAGATTTGTTAATAAATTTTTAATAACAGCTAATATTTGAATAACTTGAAAAACCATCTTATCACTTAAAAACTATCTATAAAAAACTAATTATTATTTGTTATTTATTGTTATGTCACAACTAATATGTATTTAATATTGTAGATTTATTATTGGATATAATGTGAGACACTCGAGTGAACAGTGCTTACTAGAGACAGATAAGAAGATATCTGTGGATGCAAAAACTCAAGATGCAGATGTGGAATTATTAGATGAACAACCTGCTAAGAAACTTAAATTGGATGAGAAGAAGGAGAAGCTGAGAGGTCAAAATAAGGCAAGACCACCTCCGTTCAAGGCTTCCAGGGAGTTGAGTTTATGTCCTTGGATCGCAGATCAAACAGTGGATCAGTCTGAAAGAAGATGTCTAAATCAGCGCTGCAGTTTTCTGCATGATCGAAAAGAGTATCTAAAGATCAAACCACAAGATATTGGTACAGAATGTCATGTGTTCAATTTAACTGGCAAATGCCCAAGAGGATTTACTTGCAGAATGGGATCCCAGCATTTAACTGAGGATGGCTTCAATGTTATTGATAAAAAAAAATTTGAAGAATACAGCAAACGCCCACCAGCCAGCAAAAATCATTTATTTAAGGATTTACAAAACAAACTACGCAAACGTAAATACAATTTCTTCAAGGCGGAGTTGATTGTTAAAGCTAATGATCCATCTAAAAAAAAGATGCAGAGTTCAATAAATGAACCAAAAATAAAAAATAGCCCGCAATTAAATATTACAACTACAGAATTTACTAATATTCCTAATAACAGCAATGGCGAAAAAGTGGAAAAAGATACCTCAAACATCAGCAATGGTGAGAAAATTAAAACTGACACTTCTGATTGTGACATCTCGCATGAATCGAAGGAGTCAAAAATTGGACCCGTGGATGATAGCGATTTGATCAAATTACGGCAATTGGAGAAGAAAAAGATTGATTGGAGAGACAAGATACTGCTGAGTCCATTGACGACGGTAGGTAATCTACCGTTTCGAAGGATTTGTAAAGAGTACGGCGCCGACATCACCTGTGGCGAAATGGCATTGGCGCCAAAGATACTGAAAGGTGCGCAAGAAGAATGGGCGTTGGTGAAGAGGCATGAGGTTGAAGACATCTTCGGCGTGCAGCTCTGCGGCAATAATCCAGGAGTGCTGACACGATGCGCCCAACTGCTGAATCGCGAGATCGATGTTGATTACATCGATCTGAACCTTGGGTGTCCGATCGACCTGATTTATAGGCAAGGCGGTGGCAGCGGTATGCTCAATCGATTGAATGTACTTGAGACTGTGGTAAAATCCGTTAGTCAAGTATTGGACATACCATTATCGGTTAAAACCAGAACGGGAGTTTACATAGACAAACCGATCGCGCATAATTTAATGCCGAAGTTTCGCGACTGGGGTGTGTCCATGATTACTGTGAGTAAGTCCATTGAATTTACGTTTTTTTATGTGAATCGGTCTCTTTTAAAAGGCCGCAATATCTCTATAAAATGACATTTTTCAAGAACAAAAAAAATTTTTGAGAATTCTAAGGAATTAACATTTAGTTATTTATTTTGTGATATAATAAAAAATGTAGTCTTTTCCAAAAGATTAATGCACAATTATCTTTTCTAATTTATATTAACCAAATGATTATTTTTTCAGGTTCACGGCAGGTCTCGTGAACAAAGATATACGAAACTAGCCGACTGGTCGTACATAGAAAGGTGCGCAGTGGCAGCGCAGCCGGTACCCGTATTCGGAAACGGCGATATCCTCTCTTTCGACGATTATCAGCGAGTGAAGGAGATTTATAATACGGTGCAGGGCATCACTATTGGGCGCGGAGCGCTGATTAAGCCATGGATCTTCACCGAGATCAAAGAAAGAAAGTTGATCGATATATCAAGCTCGGAAAGATTCGATATTCTCAGGAAATACACAAATTACGGGCTCGAGCATTGGGGATCCGATACCCGCGGCGTCGAGGCTACCAGAAGGTTTATGCTGGAATGGATCTCTTTCCTTCATAGGTAAACTTTCTTTGGGAGAATGTTTGTGCTTCTAAAAGTTATTGAAGTATTAGCAATTTCATATGGAAATATGTTAAAGATATGTCCCTGTTGGAATTTTGGAGAGGCCACCGCAGAGAATCAATGAAAGGCCACCGTACTATCAAGGTCGTAATGATCTAGAGACATTGATGGCCAGTTCCAATTGTGCCGATTGGGTGAAATTAACGTAAGGCGACTTTTCAAGACTATTATATTTTTCTCGAGATATTAATTTCAATTACTATTATAATATTAATTTTTTTTATAGCGAGATGTTACTCGGAAAAGTGCCTGACGGATTCTATTTTCTACCAAAGCACAAGGCAAATTCGTGGAAGTAATTTATTATAAAAAAAAGAGAGGTTTTATAGGAGCGTTCTAAATTCTCGAATAACTTAATATTCTTGTTAGATTTTTCGTAACAAATAATTCATAAGAGAAAAGGATCAATCATCAGGTAGGATGATGTTGGATACTTGTTATATTTCATTTTATCTGCTTTTATAATGCAGTGAATAAATATTTTTAAGAAAGATCTTTTTAATACAAATATATGCCCTCGAATAATTTATCGCGGTTTTCACGTTAAGATATTGATTTCACTAAATATACGAATGCGCTATTGAATCAGTAATGATGAGTTATCTCGCCAAGATTAGTGACCGGCCACATGCACTCGCATCCACTGGGGATTTCTTTTGTAAAATGTTCCCAACATTCGCCTTCCCAACGACGTCTGACTAGGGACAGGAGTCGACTTCTTTGCACGCAGTGAAATGTTGGTTGAGCACATTTCTGAAAAAAAAGTATTAAAAATTTTTTAAAAATAAATTTAAAGTTTTTCTCAGTAAAAATCTGACAAGATTATTTCCTTGCGTTCAATGCATTTAACAGATAATTATTAATTTATTTTTTCTTAATCGCATTATATATATTTTTTGCTCACTAAATTTGTGCTGCATGTCTATCTATTTGCGTCACTGTATATAAATTTACCTGTATAGATCTTATTGTTTGATCATTATAGCCCGATGAATAACTCTTACAGAAGATCTCGTAATAATGCGGGGGTTGGTACTCGTAATCGGGATCGGTAATTTCCACTCTTTTCGTTATTGTCTCGCAAAGATTGCGATATTCCTGTGTTGCAAAAAGAGAAGATTAATATAAACATTTATCTCAATGTGACGCAACGATATCAATAAACGAATTCGAATCAAGAATGACGACACAAAAAATAGATAAAAGGAACTGATAAGAACTTGTCAGAATTGGTTTTACAAAATTTGATCTTTACAGAAATTGACTTTAAAATATGTATTTGAATTTTCTTGAATGCTTCTTCTGGTGAGAAATGATTCGTTTTCTGAAATAGTTTACTAACGGGCATCAAATTTCTGTTATCTCTCTCCAGCTGTTGCAGTTCGTTCACCACACTTTCCGCGTTGTAATCCTCTTCTGGCAGATAAGACATATCTCTTATCACCGGTATATCACGTAATTCATAGTAGCGCCCAGGTTGCTCAGATCTCAAGCTCTCCTTAATCAGCTGAGTGATATTCACTCTTCTGCTTAGGACGCAGGACACGTGGCTGAGAATAAAGAATACGGCGATCTGCAAGCAAAATATGCGTTTAAAAAATAATAGAAAAAAAAAAAATAAAACTCCAAGCTTCAATTTTTAATTACAATACTTTTAAACAGACGTTACAATTCTGACATTATATATAAAAACTAATTAGAGTCCAATTTTAAGTTCATAGAGCAACATACATATTGTTTTTTTCTAATCTTGATTCAACTGGAGTGAATTCTGCTGTAAAATAAAAAATATCAACTGATTCCACATATCGCGCAACTGTACACGTCTCATTGTTTTATCAGTGACACAGAATCGTCAATATTCTCTTGAACATTCGCGTATTACGTCATAATGATAAAACCTAAACCTTCGACGGAGGTCTCAGTCAGCAGCCTTTAGCGACCCATCAAACCTGATAAAGCGTAAATCGCGCGCGGAGGGTCCACTCCGTAAGTAGGAATGAAGGTGGATGAATCATTCGTTTAGAGTACTGCAACTGGCGAAATGGTTTCGCTAATGTGTATCACGAAATATAATATGTGCATCTCCAATTTCTCCTGCGAATTCTTTGTTTTCGATTTTCTTCCTTGAAATCATTTCAAATCTTATCTCTCATTATGTTCAAGAATAATTTCTTGAAAAAAGAGAGAACACTTCTCACACAATTTTATACAGATCTATCGCAGCTGTAATCTTTCGACAAATAAAGGCAGAATTTTTCACTCACACAAATATCGCTTGAAAATCAATGAAGGATAAGATCGTAGTATTTAGAATAAATTAGAAAATATATTTGAGTATGTGAATCTCAGTTCTGAAAAAAAATAAATTGAAAATTTTAAGCTAATTGAATTTTATATGAGCTACGATTTCTATAAAACTTGTAAATGTGGAATTACAAATTTCACATTTACGCAACCGCGTGTTCAAACTGATTTTCATCAAGAATGCGAAAGGAGCTTGCAACACGTAATAGATGGTCTATCAATAAGAACGTTGAAATCTTATCAATAGAAATAGCTTGCCTACGGATCGGATTATATATATATATAGTTAGTCAGTTCGCAAGGTCGGCTCTGATTGAGCTGACGTGCTGCATGTGTCGTATGATGCAAATTATTCTTCCCCGCGTCATCAATTTAATTCACCGAATGTGACGACAGAATATACGCACGAGATAATACGTTCTTCCATGGCGTCTTGGATTCTAAGTAATGTCAGAGCCAATAAATGCTGTAATAAGTAATCAGGTGATAGATCGAGTAATAAAGAACCAACAGAACCTTTCAATAGAGTTTAAGTCGATGATGTCTTTTTTTCTACATATTGAAGAGCGTTTATCGCTCTTCGCTGTACATAAGAAGACTCTCAGTAACGCAAAATAATTCAGAAGTCGTGAAACTTGTCAGCGGCGGCCGTTGACAGACATGACGATGTAAAATAAGAATCCTCTCGATAGTCTTTAAATACATCTTCGCGGATCGAAATATTGAAAAGATTTAAGGATTGCTATTGATCAGCCATCACTTAAAGAAATTTGACTGAAGATATTCAGTCATCGATAAGACGCAAGTTAATCATGCTCACAGGAAGGCGAAACCGCAGTGCTAGTCTTTAAAAGAGATATTCATAAAATAAGAATATTCATGAAAAAAGAAGAGAGAAGAAGAAGAAGCTAAAGTGATGCACAAGGTGGGAGAAGTACGCAGACTACGTGCCGACTTTCAGCATCAGAGCGACACGCTGCATCACATACACGCGACAACACTGTGCCAATGTGGGGTAGGTAGTTATCCAATTGACAGTGCCCCCGTCTGACATACATAGTTCAGTCACGACTGCGGGTACAGGATGGATCCTAAGTCTTCTCCGCTGAATGCGTAGCCGACAGTCGTTCCTTCGAAATTGCGCTCGCCACGCGACGCTTCCTCAACGCTTCCGAAATCGCACCGGCGTCATCGCGCGTCTCAAACAGGATTATATTTTGACGGAACTTTCGCGTTGCGGTAAATAACGAAGGATATATATATATATATAAAGGACGATACCACGTCGGCGAGTCGTGAATTGTGAGGATAATGTCAGCCCAACGAGCGTGTTTGGATCCGAGCGATCGGTGTTTTATTTGCGGTGAGAATGAGCTCGGTCAAGGTTGACGATTGTCAGTGCGACAGCTGTTGAGAATTCTGAAGATTCCGCTGAATACGTTATTGTTGATTTTCAACAAAGGGGATAAGAAGACGGGAGATACCGACGAGATTCCAACGCGAGCTCGTACACCCTTCAGATCCTTCGTCAGAGATGCCATCGGGCTAATACTGATATCATGGCAGCCGATCTTTACGCGAACGGCTCTGTAAAATCAACGTCTACCAGGTGAGACTGATTAGAGATAACAAGTGTGTGATTACCCTGCATCTCATCGATATAATATCTTAAATCAAATTTCCGTAAACGATAACTGACAAAGCGACTGATCAACTCAGCGATCCTTAGGTTTTTCTTTAAAACGTTAAATCAACAACTTTTGAACTTGTTATACGAACATTTAAAGATAAGAAATTAATTAAGCAATATTAACGAATATTGATCAAAGAGAAGAATTTACGAAAATTTAAGAGAAATTGATGAAATCGATCATATCATATCAAACGAAGGCTCATATTTCTAAGCGTAAATATGGTCATCCGTAAGCTTCTGAGTTTTATTTGCCTATCAAGATGGCATTTAATGTCAACGTGACATCAGAATCAGATAGGCCACGTCTAACACTAAACGCAGCCCCGTTCGATTCTAAATTTTATGCCCGATTCCACTAACGTAGATTAACTTTAATCTCGGTTCAACTTACTCTTCACCTTTTCTAATTCTTAGAACTAGAAAAAGATGAAGAGTAAGTTGAACCGAGATTAAAGTTAATCTACATTGGTGGAAATGGACATTATTCGCCTAATTTAACGACCGCGTTCAATGTCAACGTGGAAATAGAAATGTTAATGTGACGTAGAAATAGAAAATGTGCGTGTAAAAAGTTTAGAAAAACAATTTTAAATATTTCTGCAAGAAACAAAGTATGGAAAATGCGTCTTTTGTTCGTAACAATTCTCTAATACACGCATATGATGACACGATAATTTTGTAATGTATACGATGAAGTCTTGATGACACATCAAATACAACTGTGTAGTGACATTGTTTATAACGACCGTTTCTAAACATATTTCATCTAATTTCATAGATAGATGTAAACGTGATCGCGAAATTGCTTCATTTCCGGGTGTTAAAGGCAATCATAAAGATATATGATCAATGTTAAATTGCAGTGTTTACAGAACACTTTTATTCTAAAATTTATTCAAAATAGATAAAATATTTGATTACTTTTCTGATTGGCAAATATCTTCTCTTTTAGAAATTGAGCAAAAATTTGCTTAATACGATTTCAAGATCAAAGGATGATTCAGCAATCAAAGGTGCGAATTGTTGATAAATGCGATAGTTTTCGGTTTTTGCAAACAATTTCAGTGACAATGAAACCGTTTAATAGTTGCTCGGCTCTCTGAGTTAATAAGCAATTGACCCTCGGTTTGCCGGTCGAGTAAAGGTTTCATTGATGAGGAGCAGCGTTATTAAATGTACTTAAACGAGAGCAAAATTCGAAAAATCTCGACTCCTTAAAAATTCTAACAATTATTAATGTAATCGTCACAAGCTGTCCCATTAATTGTACTTCCTTCAATTTTCTGTACTTAAAACAAAGCACATATATAATCAATTTTAAGGAAAAGATGATAAAGTGTTGCTTTTTTGTAATAAATAATCTCACAGCAAACTATTAATGATGCAAATTGTAAATCTATGAATTAATAAATGTAACATAAATATAATCTGTAAAATATTAACTGATAAATATTTATTTATGAACAAATATTAATTGCAGAATAAAGATAAATCAGTATCAAGTAAATAAAAGTGTGCAGTTAAGCAGAATAAATCTCGTATCGCACCCACTTACAGCAGAATAAATCGAAGGAATTCAAATTAAAGCCATATTTGAAGATTATAAATCCTCCCAAGAAAAATACGCGGTCAATTACCGTCTAATCAATTTACAGTCCGAACATGTGACCGATTATTATTGCCATATATTAAAACTCGTAACACGTGAGGGCAAGCATTGAATTTAATTATGAAATGACAAGATCGTATATAACCTTTTTTGTGATACCGTTTTTGTGATGTCAAGACGAGCTTTTTAATTAAATTAAAAAGACTAATAATTAAATTACAAGAAGAATATATGACTTTTTAATTTAATAATTTAATAGTTTACGTAAGTGCCAATAGTAGTCGATGTGCAAAAAAACATTGTATCTTCAAGTTTTATATTTTTTCAATACTTTTTGAAACGCGTACTCTTTTTCATGTACCGTCATCGAAGAATTGTCATCAAGACCGTGACCTATATTATAGTCAGCAAATTGAAACGCACCGATATTACAATAGTCATAATTCCACTGACGATGATCAAGAAGGCACATTTGTTTGTCCAATTGTACACGCGGTGACTAAGATCGATGCAAAGTCAATTCAATAAATCCACATGTCGCTAGAAATTCCGCAGCAAACGAGAATCCATCAATTCATACGGATATGCGAGCCCGTTGACGAATCTACATCGAATATCGCGAATAGACTAACAATAACGTAGAATCTGTTATTGTCGAGCAAATATTTGAGAATATAATCAATTTTTCACCTCAATTAAGATGAACATTTGCTTCGAAATAATCCCCAATTACCTATTAAATGTAATATCCGGAGTCGAGAAAATTGTTCGGACTTGTAAAAAAAAGAAAATTTTTTTTTTAAATTAGCATTTCTATTTCTTATTTTAATTGTTTCTATTCATCTATAAAATAATTTCCATATTAATTGACTTATTAAGCAAAATAAAGCACATTTTCGGTTATAAAAAAATGTTAAGATCTGATTTTGCTTCGAGATGGAAAATCATAGATCGGGGAGAACGCTAAATGCATAAACGAGTAGAATAGATAACAAATAAATAGAATGTTCGTTATGTTGCGTGACACGATACGAGGCGGAGGAAATGATGGAATGATGAAAATTTGAAGAGTGTATCGTGGCCGCACATAAACTGAACGTAGGCAGCAGATGACGCGGCGACACACGCCCATCGGTCAGAAACTTAAATTTGCTGCTAGACTAGCGACGACTTTTAACCCAAATATTAGGAGTTATCCGAGACAATGGAGAGAAGCAGGGAGATGACAGACAATTGCCTATTTTCGTCAGAATTAATCAAATAAAATAATAAGATGAAACCATATTAAAGCAAACAATTGAACAAAATTAGATACAAAGTTTGTTTTCGACATTTCCTTGATAATAAAGAACTTATTTTTGCTTTTTAAATAAAACGAGGCGAAACGTAAAGAAAAAGTATTAATGACTACGTGCTAAAATAAGATATCGTCTACCGGGATACTCTAAAAGGTCGCAGGTGCCATTTTCGCACGAGTCCCTCATGTTTGAGAAGATAATTAGACCATTAGTTTGGCGTAAGACCGTTATAGACTTGTTAATCGTAATCAGGTGATGCCTGAAGCTGAGAGGAAAGCTTCTTGTTGATGGTACAACCGGTAGATGATGTCACGCGTCGCGTTATAATTGGATCAGTTATTTCAAAAACTACGTAGATTCAAGAACGGAAATTGCGTCCTTCTTGACACACGTAACTAGCTATGATTTTTCAAAATTATGTCATGAGATTCTTTATGAGATCTCTGCGATGTTTCTCACTGTCGTGAATTCGCAATTTTTATGAAGAATCAAATGAAATTAATTAATAAAGTGCGAAGAATTATATGATACCAACAATATTTCATGTATTAAAAAAGATTTACATCTTAAATTTCTGCATTTTTCAATTTCACAATTCTCGCATTTTGCGATTCTTTCTGTACATCAATAAAAAACAGGATAAAAATCATCAAAAGGGAGCAGGACTAGTGTAATGCGAGCTTACATCAATCACCATCGGATTATTTTTAGCCAGGATAGGGTCTACCCCCTTTGCGGTAGCTAAAAATAGCCTGTAAGACCAGTCCAGGCCCAATTATCTCATCTAGATATTTAGGTGACAATCGACCGACCGCCAATTTAGAAATATTCCACTCGAAGCCAGGGCCTTCAGCTTGATGTGAATAATCCTTCACGTCTCGCGCGCATTAAAAATCAGGCGTTTACAAGATCCTGCGCTCTGCCAATGAACAGGATCATCCAAAAGAAATATTCGAACTAGTGCTCAGAAACTTGCGAATGCAATATTTATGGAAAATTAAAATTGTTTGTTTCGAAAAATTCAAATCGATTAAAAAATATAAAATTGTGATATTGAAAAATGTATTCTTAAGATGTAATCTACGAAAATCCTTTCTATCAATTTTTCCACAATTTTTAATCCCTACAACATTGAAGAATTGATCAAAAAAAGGTGCAAGTGTCAGCAAGATCTTTTAACAAATTCTTTAAACAATATATACATATATTTCTGTAAAAAAAAAAGATTAGCGTTTTTTTAAATGCACGTGTAACTTGCTGGATTTTAAATATATGTAATTTGCGCATTCCATTAAAATATGACATTTACAGCATTTTTGATCAAGTTTTTCAATCACATGATTGTCTCGCTTGATATGCAACCCGTGTTACAAGCGCGTATCTGTTTGCAGAGCCGTAGGCAGCATGGGGCAGCGTAAATCCGGCGCCCTGGGAAGCCTAGGCGCCGCGGCGCCCATATCAACAGAGGAGGAGCAGTTAAAGTTCCAAGACAGTCGATTTCTGGCGACTTTAGTGCTCGGCAGAAGTAGGTGAGTGACCGAGCGTGACTGACTATCTAGTTCGTGACGGAAATCGAGGCACGTGATCGGTCCCATGCGACCCACTTCAAGATCATAGGATTAGATTGCACACATTGTGTTGTAAGATTAATTGCAAATCTCATCGAATCGATTGTGACAAGAAATAATCAAATAACTACGTGTTGTAAGTGCTTATCTCGCGATTTGTTATTATACGTAGCCCAAAGTTATATGTAGTTATATTTGTCACATTTGGGACAAGTTTTATCGAGATGAGTGGCATGCTTATTACGTGTTGTGTAAACATTGAACATTTGTCAGAGATTCAAGATTAAATTAAAGAATGTCGCTGAATAATTCAAGCACAAATGTTAAACGATAACACTTTTAGTTATTGTAAGATTTAAATTTTTGCACGATTGCATCAAAGATTTACTATTTGACAATAATAATAAAAGTACGAATAAGATCGGGACTTACTGTTAAAATATTCATCTTTCCAAACATACTGGCGGATCCGGTCGTTTCACGAAATGCGCAGTTTTAAAGGTCGGGATGTGACGAATAGGGTGTGAAATTACTGAATCAGGATCGCGTAACGGATGGTCGGTTTTATATACAACACAGGGGAAGTACCTGCCATTCTCTTGAGTAGAAAAGGTCATCGCAAAATCCTCCTGTAAATAAAGAGCAGCGATAATATCCGTGGGACGCAGTAATTGAATTTCCTAATCGCGCACTATGACAATTGTTAACAACGGATTGCGTCGATTAAAAGATACGTCGTATCGATACGAACGCGGAATCCTGTTTACCCTGCGACCTCTCGCTACGGAGATAATGACCATAGATACATAAAAATTAGCACGTATCTTAAAAAAGAAATGATTATAAACGTTGGAGAATCATCTCTCTTCGCAAAATTTGTTTTTTAATCGATATGAGAAATTGGCACTCTTCGTGCGACTATCACGTTTATAAAATATATTAATAAATAGAAAAAGTTTGACAATAGAAAGGCATGGATTTTTGATCGTGGTCAAAACTACATTATTTTCTCAAACGATTAAAACGACCAACGTCATTGATCGACTAATATTATGTTCACACTATTTGATAATTAGGAGCATCGCCTCGAGTCGTACCATTGATTGTACCGACAATGTGATGGATGGCACTACGATTAATTTGTTGTGCATGCGGGCTGACCGCAGCTCGTGATCGTTGTTTCTCTGAGAAACGTCAATCGTTTCAATGAATCCAGACGCGAGATAGTTATCGGTGGGCCGCATTCTTGATGGGCCTACACATCTCAATAGGCATCTTCATAAACACTTCATCATAACCCTGAAAGTATTCGTGTCAATATTTCTCCAGCGCGATTTTTCTTTCATTTCTTTTTCCTTTTTATCATCATAAAGATGTAACGGAGAGGTCAGTCTCTAATCTATCTTCTAGTTTTATTTTGTTAAAGTTTTCAAAACTTCAAGAATTTAACGTTACATATTTGTTGCCGTGCGAATACGTACCTAAAAACTAAGGTTAAATTCGCGCGCAACGCTTTTTCGCGCCAGCGCGTTCAACCTACATCAATCGCTACGAAAATTACATAAATCTTTTTCTTTTTAAGGAGAATCTCGCCGGACGTGTTGCCGTCTTGTTCGCCCGGTGTGTTCCGCCAGAAGTCGTTTCGTTCATCCACGCCGCCACCGCCGCCGAGGAAGGTGCCAATACCAGCACGGACGTCACCAGTTGCGCGGGACGGTCGAGCTGTACCTGTAATCGCAACGAACAATCGCTACGCTCCTCGCGCAGCCACCCCTACTGTCACCACTGTCCCTGTCGCACCACCACGTGATAGCGGCTCGCGCACCGCTGTCGGTACTTCGCTATCGCTCTCGTTGTCGCGGGGTGCCCGAGCGACCAGCAAGCACGCGCGTCTCGGCCCGGCACTGGCCAGCAAAATGGCGTCCGCGAGCTCCTCCACGGTCGTGCAGGGCTGGCCGAATACCAAGGACGACTACGAGCTCAAGGAGGTTATCGGTGAGTACCGATCGCCGAGCGAGATCGTCAGATCGTACACCGATCGCGCAGTCGAGCGGAAAGTCGCGCGCGCGCGCCTCGATCGAGCGCGCTTAGCTCGGAAACGCGCACCGGCGCGACGTCGATCTCCAACGTCTGGTAACCGTCTTTTTCGCAATAGCTGTGCATCAGGCGAGGATAGCGGCGGCGACGACGACGATGATGATGCCGAATGATGCCAGATTCGTCGTTTGCATATCGATCATACGGGTCAAACGTGACGGCTCACAACGGTTGTTCGTCGTGTTGTTTCGCCGACAGGACGACGGTTTTGCTAATCCCGCTCGCGCTGTCTCGCTCCTTCTATATGTGTCCTTCTCGCACTCGCGCTGTCACGCAGCACCCGGTGCTGCTGTACGAAAGAGCGTATATCCTATCCTAACCTAGTTAACCTGCGCCGGAGATCGAAACGGTGCGCGCGTGTCAGTGCTGTATGCGTACTCAAAAATCGGTGGAGAAAAAGGGCGCTCCGTGCAGTTGGGCGGAGCTGTGAAAAAAATGCAAAATTATATAGTGTAATATAAAATTTTTTATTTTTTTCTATGAACAATTATGAAAGAAAAAGTATACACGCAACAAATGCAAATGTTATTTTGACGAGAAATAAGTTTGTCTTTTAATTTGCATTAATATCTTTGACAATTAACTTTTTAATTTACTTTTATATTTTTTTGTATATAGAGTATATATGAGTATATTTTTTATAGAGAAAAACGAGTGAATATTCGAGTATTGATTTATAGAGAATTTGCATATTTATCTTGATTCTTTAGAATGAACGTGGACTGCTCCAAATTAGATCAATCATTATAGTACTCGAAAAAATAAACATTTTATGTGTGCGATAGTATTATATAATTACATTACCACTTACTAGTATGTTACATTAAATATTTTAAATTTATATAGTATAAATATTTTTAATAGAAAAAAATTCTTATTGTATTTTTAAGTACCATAAGATTAACACACAATTTAAAAAAAAAAACACATTATGTGCTATTTCTGTGTCCGCAGTTTCGAGTGTATTATATTTTTAAGAGCAGGAACGGCAGCAAGTTTTGTTAGCGAAGTTAAATTATTTAGCGTCGCGGCGACGCTTAGTCGCTCCGTTTTTAGCCGCATTTTGAGGCGTTTTATTTTAGCACAAAACACCGCAGTATTGCAAGCAGTAAACTTAATATTGCTTTCAATGGAAATTTTAAATAATATCGATATTCGATACACGATGCATCAAATATTGATGCTTTTTAAAGTTGAAGTATTCTTAATTTTAACTATTATATAAAATATTTACTGTATATATTTTAATTAAATAGTTTATCAAGCCGTTGAATCTTGAAATTTATTGAGTAAAATGTAGTTTTAAAGTATGATTAATGCATTAACAAATAAATAAGTTATATTAATAATCATTTTATTAAATTGCAGGAGTTGGAGCAACCGCCGTGGTGCACGCAGCATTTTGCATTCCACGACAAGAGAAATGCGCAATCAAAAGAATAAATTTAGAAAAATGGAACACAAACATGGACGAATTATTGGTGAGTTTTATTGTAACCTTGACGCAACGATAGATAAATATTAAATACATATCTCTTGATAAGATTTTTATATATTGTATGATTCATTGGATTAAAATTTTATTGATTATACTACGTCTGCTTTATCATGACAGATATTTATATTAAGCATAATAATATTGGTAATTATTTCTATTTCAATGAAATGTTATTCTAAAAGTAAAATCTTAAAGAAAATTTATTTTGATATATTTTTTCTTCAAAAATACCTTAAATCAATTGTTTTTACATTAAATTTATTGAAAGATGAAAGATATTATTAATTAGGACATTTTTATGTATGGATTTAGAAAGAGATACAGGCGATGTCTTCTTGCAACCACGAAAACGTCGTGACGTATTACACGTCGTTTGTGGTGAAAGAAGAACTCTGGCTGGTTCTGAGATTACTAGAAGGTGGATCATTGCTGGATATTATCAAACATAAGACCAGGACCACCAATTGTAAACATGGAGTATTCGATGAAGCCACCATAGCCACAGTACTTCGAGAAGTACTCAAAGGACTCGAGTATTTTCATAGCAACGGACAGATTCATAGGTACCCTAATAATATATCTTCTGGATTGTCGTTCTATTTTTATCTATACAAAGCTCTAGACTTTCTTCCAATATATTCTTATATTTTACTATTAGAAACTATAGTATTAAAAAGAAAGAAAGTGACGCTATTTTATTATCTACGTACATAAACGAATTTTAACAGCAGAATAATATTAGGGACATAAAAGCCGGTAATATCCTACTAGGCGAGGATGGCACAGTGCAGATCGCCGATTTCGGTGTCAGCGCGTGGCTCGCGACCGGACGCGACCTGAGCCGGCAGAAGGTCCGGCACACCTTTGTCGGTACGCCGTGTTGGATGGCGCCCGAGGTCATGGAGCAGGTGAGAGAGGAAAGTAACACTACAGACTTCTTAGCCTGCGTGTTCTCTGTGTTTATATTTGTATATGCGTTTGTTGAATGTACACGACACTATTGGAACGGAAAGCGTGTACGTTGGCGGCGAAGCAAATAGTAAAATACGCATTTGCCATCGTTGCGACGATGCACACGCAGTTTGTACGTGTTAGTGTCGGTTTTGCCGTTGCGTGCGACACAAGGAAATGCTTTTATCATCTTGTTAAGTCAAGAATTAATTTGAGTTAGCAATCATGTCATTTGTTGAGCATGATATGATCTGCGTTAGGCATGTTGTACAAGTAGTCGCATAGAAAATTGCGCTGAAAAAATATTACACATCACACGATTTGCTACGATATTATTTTCCATTTAATTCTTCGCGTCATTATTTTACTTTTGTTCTCTATTTCTGCATTATGTCTGCATACTTATTAGTTTTGTTTCAAGACACCAGTTCTTATAAAAAGGAACTTTTGTGTGCAACATTACACACTGATTGTACATGTTTTGCATTTAATTTTTATCAAGTTGTATGTACATATTTATGAATAATACACCTGTCTAAAAGCTTTTTAAGCATCAATGCTTTGCAGAAGGCAATTTTGAGAATAGTTATGGCAAAAATTGATGTCAAAAAATATCACCAAAATATTTTTTGGTAACAGACCTCTTTGTGTATGAGATTGTTATTATAAATCACGTTTTTTGGCAAGAAAATTCTGGCAAGCATGCGATCTTTAGCACGACTTCACGAGATATTGGCAATCTTTCCGTTACATACCGGCTAGTATAAAATCAATTATGATATGCGTATCTGTTTGTGCAGGACCATGGCTACGATTTTAAGGCCGATATTTGGTCACTTGGCATCACGGCGATTGAGATGGCCAGCGGCACGGCGCCGTACCACAAATATCCCCCGATGAAGGTCTTGATGCTTACGCTGCAGAACGATCCACCGACTTTGGATACTGCCGCGGACGACAAGGATCAGTATAAAGCATACGGGAAAACATTCCGAAAAATGATAGTTGACTGTTTACAAAAAGATCCTACCAAGAGGTAAGGCCAATCGCACTTTTTGCTTCTGCCTCTTATTTGATGTTTTCTGATACAATTAAAATAGAAAAAGAAATAAATAATATAATGAGAAATTAACTAACTTAAAGATTGTCTGCAATGCTATTATGTGATTACATATGGGGATTTTTAAGTAGACAAAAAAAATATAGAATATAAAATAAATGTAGTCTTTATTATTTCAGACCAACAGCTACCGAACTGCTGAAACATCCTTTTTTTAAGAAAGCCAAAGATAAGAAATATCTGCAACAGACTTTAGTGGCAATTGGACCCAGTTTAGAAACGCGTGTACAGAAAGTATGTATTTGCATAAAAATAGCAATATCATAAAGAAGTAGTTCTGAGTTATTCGATATAAATTTATATTTCTTTACTTTTTATCGAAACTACTAATTAAAGTTGGAAAAACTATCCTTATATTTCTAGCCTTATATTTGTAATATTAGTAATCTTTTTGCACGATATTGAGAGAAACTTGTCGTTTCACAGGCATCAAAACGACAACCTGGTACGTCGGGTCGCTTGCATCGAACGGTGACCGGAGAGTGGGTCTGGTCGTCTGAGGAAGAGGACAGCGGCGGTTCGAGCGGTGATGAAGGCGCCAAAGAGACATTACCGGTTAATACCATCGAAAAAGCCAGCAGCGACGAGGAAGCCGGCGAACCCGATGAGTATTACGGTCAAATCAAGGTAGCACCGAGTCAACTCGCGATACCAGCTACCGAACAAAATGTTCCTATAAACTTGGTACTCAGATTACGGTACGTGAAACTCTCATTACTTAAAAATTGCTCACAAGTTCAATTATTTATCCGATTTTTTATTTTTATACAAATTTATTGCTATATTGTAAATAAGGAAAATGATATTTAAAGTAATATTGCGTGTATATTTTTTTTGCAGAAATGAAAGACGGGAACTTAACGACATTAGGTTTGAATTCACCGTCGGAGTGGATTCTGCACAAGGAATCGCGGCGGAGTTGGTCGCTGCGGGTTTAGTCGACGGCAAAGACGTTGTGGTGATAGCGGCAAATCTGAAAAAATTAATAGAAAGCGGTGGACAATTGCGGACAGTGACATTTTCCTTGGTAAGTATCAATGTTACGCTTAATATTTAATATTATTACACATTAGAATTATGTTCTATAATTTTTTTCAATTTTTCGTCGAATGCACAATTACCACAAATCTTTCTTTTACTGATACAGAACTCTGGCTATGCGGCAAACGAAATACCAGATGACAAAGCGTTGATAGGATTTGCTCAGATCTCTCTCACCGATTAAACAGTCTCGATTGCGTTCTGAATTCTCAGGATAATGTTCTTAATTGATACATTCATCATATGTCAAGATCCAGAAGGTACTAAAAGCTAACGAATCGGCTGGATACTACTTCTCGAAGTGATGATAAAAAGAAATGCTTGACATGCATACGTGCACATACAAGTGCAGTTTGATCACTGAACTAGTTTGCCAGCAGATCTTAGCTTTTGATACTTTCGTTTCTTTCAGATTTGATTGCAGGGCGTAGATATTCGAAACACATATTTGTTACAACACATCAGTAGTAACGAGCTGCTCAAGTGTGCGTCTGTTAAATAACATCATCAATGTATATGTTTCATATAAAGACAATTGAACGGGGCAGATATATAAAAACGCTATCATCCACATACTGGCTTAAGGGTATACACTTACTCTAATCAATAATGGCTGTAGTTTTGCATAACCGAATTGTGTCATCCATATTGCATCAGTTATGTAAATATTAATATTCAATCATTTGTTAAGTTTTTTTTTCTTTATGATTGATGTATCAAACGGGATAAAGATACCATGCCGTATCTTATATAAATAGGTAAATTTAGAAGATCGAGGAAGAGAATATTTGATAGTTTAACTTATTTGTTCAAGGCGTAAGCAGTTTCTTCTGAATAGCAGGCTTTTAGTTACATAAAAAAACCAAATTAAATATACACAGAGTTATCTTGTCTATGTATCATATACAAATTATATAGTATATCTTATGCTTTATGCTAGGAAGGAAAAATAGAGAACGTTGGAATAAAATAAAACTCTTTTGTACTTAATTAAATAGACTTACGATAGCAAATATTAATATTTTCACAGTTTGTAGACGTAGCGAGAAAGACATGGCCGAAAAATTTTTACCTCGTACGTCTTGAAAATTTTTAAATTAAGTCATCTCTTTGTAAAACGTATCGTAAAATGGATAAAATCAGAATCACACATATGTGACGATAGCAATTTAAAAATAATCTTTACTTTACGATTTCGCAGATAAAGTGTTCACCATTTCTACATTCTTGTATCTACTGGAAATCGTAAAGCTATATGGTTAAATTTTTATTATTTGTTACATGCTTGCGGATATTTAAAATTATGCTTTATAGTAAAAAAAAAACAATAAGTAAAAATATCATTTTATGAAATTTAAAAAAATATGTTTTAATATATATATATTTTTTTTTGATGAATTTTATATGAAGGGTATAATATTTGTATTTTACTAAATTTTTTATAAATTTAGAAATAGAATCAAATTATTCAAAAAATTTATCAAATTACAGCTATGCATAATTAATGTGATTCTGCAGTTTATCCATTTTTAGCAATTGCGATCGTTACATGTTACAATGATGTGGTAAAGGATGCCCCCGCATTCCGCAGCTTTCAATATTCTGCAAATATTATACACATGTAATATTTCCATAAATTTTCGTTACTCTTATTGTTAACGAATGGTGTTTTAAAAGTTTGTATGCGACTCCGTATTTTTTTTTGCCATATTGTGACATTACATACATACAAACTCAAGATTTGCCGAGCAAATTCAGTTGTAATAATTATTAAAATACAAATTTGTTAATATATACATACACATATATATATATATATGTGTGTGTATATATATATATATATAATAATTACATATACTTCGAATTATCAAACCAATTACATGGTTTAATTAAATTATATAGAAGACATACTTTTTATGCTTAATACGCGAGGAGTAAGCAATTATTGTTAAGCTGCAAATGATAATAATAGTGGTTACTAGTTTAAGTAGATTTTTACAAATAGTTGTATTCACATACACACACGACACATGGCACTATATCTCGTAACACTTAGAATTTTTGCACTACGTTTTACTGGCAGAAAGTTTTAATCGGTTTGAAATAGCTTGTATCGTCACTACGTGCCTTATCCGGAGAATAACGCATTCGTTGTATCGAAATTTGTGTTTTACCTTATCACCGAAGTTCAATGACGATTCAAGTCAGGCGACTGACTTTTCATTCGCAACACGATTAAAACGGTGCCAAATAAAGTGTGCTGTACGTAGCGATTAAATGTATATCAAGAAAACGATAATTTATTTGTATCAATATCAAATGTCGTTTTGACAATGAGATTCATTGTACTTTATTTCATTATAATGATAATTATGTAAGAATTATGGACTGCAGCAGCTGAAAATGGGTAATGGTACTTAACGCCGATAAAATTCTTCGAGAATCAGCAATGGAATTTGTTTTATATCCCTGAAAAAGCTCGTTTTTTTTTTTTATTATCTATTATCTATCGAATTTCTGGCAATAAACTGTTACTCTGTGCAAAGAAAAATTCTTAAATTCAGATGTTTTTCAGAAATTTAATTCAAGCGTTACATTTAGACGAAATTCTAGAAAGCTTAAAACTCTGTAAATTTATCTGCAAAATTTTTAATTGTTTTGCAGAATAGATTACATTTCATATCTTATTATCATAACATATGAAATGTATAAAATTCCTTTTCTATAAAACTCTTCATTTTTATCAAAAAAAAAAGACGCTTGTATATTAAAAAATTATAATCCCAAAATTTGAAATAAATTTCAAATTGCATATTATATTCTATATGCATATTTCAACAGTTATTCAAATATAATCATTTCTAGTTTAAATGCTAACTGTGTATCACATATGTTACATGTAACATCCTAACCTAACCTAACCTGATTGTTGCTGATCAGCTGATTACAGAACGCAGCTGATCACTGACGTTGGCAATGCAGAATTTTTTATAGATTCATAACTTGTGACAATAATTTAAATTTCCAATCTAAATGATTTCAATACTTTTAACCAGACTAGCTGGTCTTTTACAATTACACTTTCCTGCATAGTAAAAGTTTTCCTGTAGAATGAAATAAATATATATTACGCGTAATATTATACGCTTTGAAGTACCGAAAAAAAAGCAAAGTGTAACAAATGTAATATTTGCATTTATAATTTTCTGAATTAATTTCTAAACTATTTAATTTATAATAAATCAAATCAGGTGTTGTGTGTGTGGATATATATATATATATCTATATATATCGTTGCGACACAGCCTTGTGCAAAAAAACAAGAAGAATCTGCAACGAGCAAGTGTGGCTGTATAGAATTGTGATCTTCAGTATTCTCCACTGAAATTCAAAACCGTTCATCCATGACACGTCTGCGATTCAATCTTGCGCCCAAATTTCAATCGATGGTCCGGAAAAAGTTTCTCGTCAGAGCGAATATACTGATGTTCCTGCTCGTGCCGGCAATCGTCTTTCTGTGCGTGCACTATTTACCGGCACGAAGATGTCCGCCGGACGAACAGATGCTGGACAGTAAGCCTAAATACAGATTGATTGTCCTGATTCTTAGCAGCCCGGATAATTTGGAGCGCCGTGACACCATCAGGAAGACCTGGCTGGCTGATCGCGGCCACAGTGCCATGGTACGACATTTCTTTGTCATTGGCACCCAGGACATTCTGCCGGAACAAAGGAATACCTTACAATCAGAGAAAGAGAAGTTTGACGATCTTCTGCTGTTACCCAAGCTGCAGGACTCTTATGGAACATTAACTAAGAAGGTGCTTTACTCGTTCAAAGGCGTCTATGAACGGTACAGCTTTGATTATCTGCTGAAGTGTGATGACGATTCCTACGTCTTGGTGCATAAATTTTTGAAAGAGCTTGACAGATGGCAGAACAAAGGCACAAGAAGAGAGCTTTATTGGGGCTTCTTCAATGGACGCGCACAGGTGAAAAGAAGTGGCCCGTGGAAAGAGACAGATTGGATCCTGTGTGATTATTATCTTCCTTACGCCGTAGGCGGCGGATACGTTTTGTCCTACAATCTTGTAAAGTTCATCGCCAGCAATGCAGATATTTTGAAGTGAGTATGATTGCAAATTGCAAATATATCTTTAATTTTATATTTTGAGCTGTGTTTTATCTTCAGTTTCCTGTACATACACTTAGATGCAAAAGATAAGTAAGTTCTATTCAGTTTAGTTGCATACTCATTTCTTCGTATACTTTCTTTTTCTACTTTAGATTACACAATTCGGAGGATGTTTCCGTTGGTCTCTGGCTGGCACCGTTGGCGAACATTGAAAGGAAGCATGATGTGCGCTTTGACACAGAATACAGATCACGCGGCTGCTCCAATCAGTACATGATTACGCACAAGCAAACCATTCAGAGTATGAGAAGTATGCACGAGTATTACCAAGCCTCCGGTGCGTTGTGTTCCAAAGAAGTGAGAAATCGCATGAGTTATCAGTACAACTGGACTGTGCCACCTAGTCAGTGCTGCAACAGACAATCCGGCATTCCCTAATGCAACAGAAAAAAAGATTTCTGCAACATTCTAGTCCGATTTTTTACTATACTTGCTCAATATTCCGGTATCATTATTTATTTTGTATATTTATAATGAAAGCTATAACGTCTTAATTATATTTTGACATATACGTGTTAGGATAGTTTTATATTTGTATTAAACGCTTAAAAAATTCTCAAGAATGTAATGTAAACAGTATTAAGCAAAATGAGAGTTACAAAAGATAGCATTTCCAAATTTTTTTGTAAAGTTAAAGGGATAATCTGGATTTTGTTGATTGGGCATTATTGCGCAGTGGCGCAATGTAGCAATTGGTTCAACGCGCTTGTAAATACGTTTTGTAAATACATTTTGAACGATGGCTAAATAGGTACGAATAAGTTTCAATAAATCAAATGCACTCTTTTCAATCATAATATGAGTATATGTTTTTAATATATTTTTTGTCTTCAATAGAGAAGCTTAATATTTTATTTATACATATATATAAATATATAAATATTTTTTTATTTATATATAAATATATATATATATATAATGCGATGTACATTTATACAATATAAAAACAATAATAACGTTAATGTAATACTGTAATTAAAATATGATCCAATGTTATTATCATAATAAGCAAATCACAGATATATTCAAGAAACGGCCACGTGGAAGAATGGTAAAAGTAATATGTAACATGACAGAAATTACCAATAAATTACTATTTTGACGTAAAAAAGGAAAATGAGATGACAGCAAAATGACGGCCGATTCTCAAAACATGATCTATCTGTGATAAACTTACATTCTATTAAACTGAACTGTGCTTCCATTACATCTAAAATTGACAATAAAAATTCATCGCTAATTTATATAATATGTTTAAGAATGAAAACAAATTTAATGTGTCAATGAATCATTAATTTAATATTAATATTTAACAAGACATTTTTTAGTTTTTTTTTTATATTAAAAAACCTACAATACAATTAGGTACATCGTGATAACAAAAGATGAATAGAATTGAATATAATTTTGTAATAGAATTAATTAATTTTTATATACTAAAGCAAAAAGTTCATTTTTGGAACAATTAACGACAATGATGCAATTTTAGTGCTAAATATGAAAAAAAATATCTTTTCATCAGTATTAGATGCAATGAAGATGCGGTCCTATTATCTTTAATAGTTTCGTCACAAATTTTCTATTGTTGTTTTATACAAAAATTATTGAATTTTATTTTTTAATGTGAAAAAAGTTATTCACTGATGTTAAAAACAGTGTAACAATAGTCTTTCCTTTAAAAATGAATTGATGAGCAAATTTACACATTCCTAAAGATTACTTCTTTTTGCGATCTTGTGTACACTTCGGACAATACCATTTTCCTTTAGGCTTCGTGGTTAAACCTACACAAGCAAAGTGGAACCACTCTATGGGGCACTAAAAAAAAAATAAACGATTAATAATCTTGACTTTAATATTCATAGGTTCTAAATTATAATAAAAATTTTTGAAAATTGAAGAAAATGTATTTTTAAAAACACAGTTTTATTCATAATATAAGAATAAAACAGTTTTGTTCATAATTTAACTGTCAATAGATCTTGCTTTAAAGGAATTTTAAAACACAACATTTTGTAACAGAATTAATTAATAATGATGAACAAATAATGTAATTAAATTTTTCATATAAAACAATAGGTTTAAAACGATGTAAAATGTCGAAGTAATCATAAAACTTACATCTGGATTATCACAACCAATCATTTCTCCATATGATACTTGATGACAGAGACAGTAAGTCGGTTCATTAGGATCAACAGGCATGTCTAAGACATCAGCTGGATGCCGAGTATCTACTTGAGCACCACTACCTACAGTACCAGTGGCTGATGCAGAAGCTACAGAGGCACCTGGTATAAATACACATTTATACATATACATAATAATTACAAGTCTAATATTTAAAAAGTTTTAATAATTTTAATAAAGTTGCAATTGTAAGTTTGGCATAAACATACCTTTCTTCTGCTTTTTCCTCGCAGCTTTGGCTTCATCCTCACTGCTCACTGCACCCTTTCTCCTCTTTTCCTTCTCCTTGAGCTTCTTTCTACCTTTCTTACTGGCATTGCTCTCCTCTTGTGCTCTGTTGCTATTTAATGTCTTGTCTTGTATCTCTGCTTCAAATCTTGCCAGATCTGAATCTAGTCGTCTAATGTGCTTGTCCACCAATTCATAAGTTTGAATAGCTAATTGCACTTTGTCATCGCCATATTCCTTAGCCTTATTAAACAAACTCTGAATATGAGCCTGCTGTTCTTTTCTCTTCTCTGGTGACTCCTTCTTTGTATTTCTCAAGTAATCATCAGCCAACTTGTCAATGTCTTTCATCAAACCTTGTGCTCTCGCATCCAAGTCTCTCATAAGTGTAAAATTTCTTTGTAGTTCAATTGGTAAATGTTCAAGACCTGTAACATACATTTATAAATCTTCAAATTATACAATATTAGTGTTGAAACGCACAAAAATTTATTTGTACTTTAAGTACACACAATCAAACTGCATAAATAGTTACATATGGTTTTCTTAACTATAGATTTTATCAATCTAATTTCTTTATAAATTAAAAGACCATTTCACTAATTAAACATTTGATCAAAAACTACTATTGCAACTTCTGAATATTAATATTCAAAAAAATTGTTAAGTTAATGTAAAACTTTCTATCATCTGTGTTCGGGGGAAATTCGTAATTCTGTTACAAAATGTTGTGTTTTAAAATTCCTTTAAAGCAAGATCTATTGACAGTTAAATTATGAACAAAACTTTTATTCTTATATTATGAATAAAACTGTGTTTTTAAAAATACATTTTCTTCAAATTTCTATCAAAGTTTACCTGGATAATATTTTAAGATAAGATTTTGATACATTGTTAATGTTTAATTTTCTAAAACACTTTAATTTTTATCTCAAAATATAATAAAATTTAACTTTTTGTCATATTGCCACAAAAAAAATTAATACTCGACTTTTTCTGCAATTAATAATATAAAACTAAAAAAATACACAGTATAGCTTCTGTATTTTTTGTATATAGGTTAGGAAATTACGTTTTATTATTCTAGCATTTTTCTGTCTTCGGACGGAAGCATCTTGTTTTCATATCTTAAGTGCGCATTTAAGGCGGAAATTACAAATCACATTTCAACACTTCCGCATTATGCGGAAGAGAAAATAAGCGTATGTTTACAGAAGAGCAGTTGAGAAAGGAAAAAGTATAAATTCAAGAGAAAGAAAGAGTAAAAAATAAGCTACTAAAAATAATAAAATATATATCTGCACTTCAGTTATATTTTCTGCACTTTTTTCGTCTTTTTTTTTTATTCTTGCATTATGAATAAAATAAGATTCATTATATAAAAATACAAGTTAGTACTCACTGTCAAGATAGTGTTCTAAATATAGTGCGGTTGTCATGGTAGTTGTATTTTTACGTAAACAGTACTGATCAGTGCATATTAGAGCAAATAAATTTTCTGCGACATCAGCGAAAGATAATTGTAAGATAAATTCGTTTAATAACGATCACTGACAGATGATACAAAACGCGATAAACG